CTGGATGCTAAATCGCAGTGGTGGCGGCGTCCTCGGGGCTCCGTGTTTGTAGGCCTTGTTCTTCCTGCCGGCAGTCCGGTCTGGGGGTACGGCGTGTTGCCGAGTTCACTGCGGGGTTTGGAAGGAGGGAATAAGTGAATTGGCTGTTAATTAGTACCTGGAAGCATAAAGTTCCTACTAGTTTGGGCTAGGATAGCCTAAGCTATTCTAGTCCTATTCTGAAAAGAATAGACTTGTTTCTGTATGCGATAAACGATTTGCCTTCCTTTCTCTCTTAATTAACTCTGCCTTAACATGCCTTTGTTGCTTTAAATTGGTGTTACAGCTCAGCTTTGTCTCCAGAGACGTACAAGTTCACCAGTGCACTGCTCACAGCTCCAGCCATCCTTCTGCCTCCTCTCCCGACTGCCCCCCCTCACACGTTTTGAATCTGTTGGCCAGTGGTAGCTGAGTTTAGCAGATAGACATTTTTGAATATATAAAGTTTATGCAGATTTCCTGAAAATCTGAGTTTAAGAAGAACAGGGCCATCCAGTTTATTGTCCAGACAGAAGAGCCACTAGATAAATTTGGGAGTGTTATTAGACACCAGAGAGCGGAGGGAGGCTCCGTTGGAGGCGTTATTCCGTTCCCATGAAAAGCATCAGTTGGGACTCATCTCACCACATCTAGCTACTTGAGCCACGAGACACAAAGTCATGGGAAGCCAGGCTTGGTTAAGTTCTTCTGCTGCTTAGAGAATGAGTTGTTAAGTACTTGAAAGATGCTTAGATGCTGTTGTGAGAAGGGAAAAGACCCAGAGGGGCTTTGTTGTGTTAATTTTTAGATGACTTTTTCCAGATGCTTAAGTTTTAGAAAAGCTAAGTTTTAAGTTCTCTAGTGGAACTCTTTGTAGTTATGTACATTCATACCTATGAGTCCCGCAGTAAGGTCAAATCGTGCTTTGGTGTTCAGGGAAAGATACATGTACAAAATAATATGCAGAATAAACGCCAGAAAAGAAACATACTGCCTAACTTTTTAAATGTATGTCTTTTATAGTACAAAATATCCCCAAATGTAAATTTATTAGCCTCTTTTTATTGGTAGAGCCAGTACCAGTGACTTTAAATGAGAAACGAGTAGAGAAAAAGAGTGCGTGTATCTGCCGAGTGTTGCTGACACTTACGTTCTAACTTCCATTTTCGAAATAATTCCAAAAGCAGCTGAATGGCAAACGATATGATTTCAATTAGTACTTTAAAGAGCTGTTCCACCCACATTTATGTTATCTTCTCTAACTTGTGACTCCTTTTTGGAGCCATTTGTTTGTTTTTTTTTGTTTGAGATGAAGAAGACTTAAATGTCAGCAGGATGGGGAAACAATGCACTCCCACCACCTAACTCAATTTGTGGGATTTTTCCTTTCCAGAGCTGCAGGTGATTACATCTTTCACTCCTTAGCCTCACTGCAAAAAGTAAAAGCGATGTTGGAGGAATCCATGGAGAAATGGAAGCGATCTCAGAAGCTACAAAGGATAGTGTTGCCCGCCAAAGCAGTGCTTGTGCTGTCTGTTGCATTTGGTCACAGCTGCCTGCTTGGCACTGATAACGTTACTCTAGATTATTAAATTTAGGAGTCTCAAAAAATAGCATAAGTAGAGGTCTTGCAAAATAAATCCTCCAGTCAGATGCTACTGAAAGTTTCTAAAGCGGTGTTTTTCTCGAAAGATGAAAGAAGTATCACCTCAGTGAGCATATCTACAGTCAGTACTTCTTCAGTGTTGTCCTTGTTTAGTGATAGGAACCATTATGTCCCTTTGGGTGAAGAGAGGAAGTGAGTTTGATGCTCTTTGGGTCGTGCCTCAGAGACCCAATTATATGAAACACTGAGCAATCTCAAGTCCCGTGGAAATCAGTCTGAAATGGAAGTATTTGATGTTTTCTGTGGTCAGATGCCAGCATCATTAACTGAATGCCAAGTGGAGATTTGGATTTTCCGCTCTTTGTGTCATTGCTGCTAATGGCAGACAAATAGAAGGCAAATGGTATAAAATTAATTTTGAGGTTCTCTATTTTTATCATCAGAATGACCCAAAATTATCTCAGCTTGCCTTCCAGTCCCTGCGTTTGGTTTAAAGAATTAGCAGCAAAGAAAACTCATGCTGCTTTTTCTATAAAGTGAATAGTTTTGCTCCTAATTCATACAAGCATAAATTTTCTGTGATGCTTTCACAGTGTTTTATCAGAGGTAGGTGGAAGTATTGAGTTCGGAGCTTATTTAGGCATCTTGCTTTAATCTGTATTTTTTGAAAAAGTTACTGTTAAATTGGAAAGCTCTTAATTTTTGGATGGATGCTGGAGCATGAAGTGCATGATGTTTTATACTTGTATTTAAATTATCCGTACCACTCTCTGTGTTAATTACTTAGGTTTCCTGATTCTTTAGAGTGTAACATACCTCCTTTGTTTTCTACTGACCTGGACCAGAATACTGATACATCAAATAGCATTGTGCTGAGCATGTCATAAATATGTCAAGCCTCAGTCCCGTAGACACACCTTAGTTCTTGAGTAGACCTGTCAGACTCAAATTCGTGTATGAAACTTCCTCATTTTAGGATCATGAATGTTACTTTTCTCTGACAAGTTCTGCTTCATAGTTCTCACTAAGCAACACAAAGACCTGTAGTGATTTCAAAATGAGATAGTGTTTAAAATCATGAGAACATTGTTCTGCAACGTTTTTTTGTGACATCACCCCAGTGAGATGATGAGTCTACAATGTAATGGTTTCTCTTAAACCCTGAGGTTAGCTCTTTGAGCTAATGCACCTCGTTACACATTTGCATGTCCTTTGCACAGTAGACCCCTTGCCTATGACTGAGGTTTGCCATAAATTAGTGTTCTGCTTTTGCTTTGCAAGAAACCAGTTGCTTTTTAGAGGAAAACAAAATGCATCACAAAGGTAAATGATCACTGAATTGCTACAGAAAAAGCTGCTCCTGGAGAAGCAGTTGATCGTGGTCTCTGCCTGCATTAAAAGTAGGTACAGACCTACTCTCATGGACCTGTATCCTGCTGAGGTCAAGTACACAGTGCAGTGGTAATTCAACTTACAGTTTTTTTTCAGCAATGCTTTAAGAGAATGTCGGGAAGTTACTATTCAGAAAACTAGGAATGAGATTATTTATTTCTACCAAAGGCCAATGAGAAATATTAAGCATAATAATATGTTTTGTATGCCAATTATAAAACTGAATTATTTTTTTCTTTCCTATTTAAAGGAAGAGTCAAGGCTGGATGTTCTGATAAATAATGCAGGGATATTCCAGTGTCCGTACATGAAGACAGAGGATGGTTTTGAGATGCAATTTGGTGTAAACCACTTGGGTCACTTCTTGCTCACCAACCTTCTTCTGGGCCTTCTCAAAAATTCTGCTCCAAGCAGGATTGTGGTAGTATCCTCAAAACTTTACAAATATGGAGAAATCAACTTTGAAGACTTGAACAGTGAAATAAGTTACAATAAAAGCTTTTGTTACAGTCGGAGTAAACTGGCTAACATACTATTTGCAAGGGAGCTGGCCCGTCGGTTAGAAGGGACAGGAGTCACCGTCAATTCACTTCATCCTGGGATTGTCAGAACAAATCTAGGCAGATATGTGAATATTCCTTTGTTGGCAAAACCCCTATTCAGCTTGGTGTCATGGGCTTTCTTCAAAACACCTCTGGAAGGAGCCCAGACTTCTATTTATTTGGCCTCTTCTCCTGATGTTGAAGGCGTGTCAGGAAAATATTTTGGGGACTGCAAAGAGGAGGAACTCCTGCCTAAAGCCATGGATGACTTGGTTGCAAGAAAGTTGTGGGATATCAGTGAAGTGATGGTGGGTTTGTTGAAATAAGTGCCAGGGGGTTTGTGCTAAAGAAATGCAGATAGCTGTGCAATACGTATTTGCAACAGTGTAATTCTCACTTTAATGCTGTGGGAATACAGATTGTTTTGCTCACTAAGTATTCAGTAGAGGAGTGATTTGTGCTGGAACTGTTTTGAAATAAAGGACTATCTTTATTTGATAGACACAGGCATTCAAAAGAAAGTCTGAAATAAATAGAGTTTGAGGGTGTGAATATAATTCCTGGTTAAATCTGCTTGGAAACTCATGTTTTACAAATAAAAATGAAACAAAACTGTGTTTTGCGATATGTATGCATATCTGTCATGTTCCACTACTTGTATTTAGGCTGGACTATGCAGGGTACTGATGGTAAAACACTTCTCCTGTAAAAAGGTTTTGAAAATAGATCCTCATAATAATAATTATAATAGGATTGTTGTCTTTTCTGAGCCATCACAATGAAAAATAGAATAAACAGTTTTACTGGTATCTTGCAGTGTAATTGTTTAGGCCTCAGTGCTGTTCAAAGACTTGTCAGCCCATGGTTCAGTGAACAAAACTGCTGAGCCATGTCCAGTTTAGCTGTGAAGCACAAAGTCAACTTTTTTTAGTGATGTCGCTGCTATTCAATGAGCACATACACTGGGTTGTGCAAGCTGTATTTTTATTTTCATGTGTGCTGAACTTCCTCTCTCTTGATATGCACACATCTTGGGTTTCATGAAAAACGTAGTTGACAGATGTGTTATGGTCTTGACAGGGCTTTGCATGTCATGAATTGTGTGCGTGCAAAGTTCAGAAGACCTCACCCAGATTAGACCGAAGAGAACATGCTTTTCAGTGTGTGTGTGGCTCGAATGATGGCACTTTAACTCAGTAGTGAGATTAGATAAGTCTAATACAGCTTACTGAATATTCTTTAATAAAAATATTTAAAAAAAAAAAAAAAAAGACTTGGCATTCATTCTTTCACTGTGCAAGATCTATCAGAAACCAGCAGTCTTGACACCGTAGCCTTGTTTCAGAGCAGAAGATTCACCTGTATTGCTTTAGGGACCCTAAACCTCGACAATCAGTCCTGCCCTTCAGGTAGCAACCAACCAAAGTTTTGAGATTCTTTGTTTGTTCACTCAGACTCTCAGCATATTTTAGCTGTTGCGCAGTGGAGTGGACCTGATCCGTCCTTACCTTTCGCCACCAAGACTGTGCTCTGGGCAAGTGACTTGGGTGGGGGAGGAAAGTGGCATTCCAGAAAATCACACGGCAAGCTGTGAAATGGAGCGGGTTTTTAATATCTTGTAACATGTTGAGCTTTGCACTGCTCACTGTAAGGTGAGGCGTGGAGATGGGCGTGTTGTCAAAGCATACTCTGAGTGTTGAACAAAGTTCACTTGAGTAATGCCAGAGGGAAGTGTGTAACATGCTTAGAGGAGATTCTGCTTTGATCTTCAGTGTTTGCATTTCACGTTTTCTTTCTAAATACTTGTAAGTAGCTGCACGCAGCACCCTTGCCACAGCCAGCAAAAGAATTAGGAGTTCATTAAGATGAGCATGTCTGTGGGGAGATGCAGAGAAGCTGAGCCAAGCTTGAGTTGTGTTTTCAATACTACTGTAGCAAAAGTAAAGGAGCAGTACTGTATTGTTTCACTGCTGAAACACGTGTGTACCTCTTGCAGAGAAAGCCTTGGATGCAAAGGTGGAGAATGGAGAAGATGGCTAGTCTGAAAATACTGTAGCAAAGAACTACACTAAAACTGTCTCAAGAGCAGAGGAATTCATAATTTTGTGGACTGAATGACGAACATAGGATGTGCACTAGCCTTCGAAACAGCAGAAGTGGATTTGTACTGAAATAAGAGATGCGGAATAAGAAGTACCAGTTGTGTAGTGTGGTATGGCTGTGTAACGTGTAACGCTTCGAACATCTGCCAGGTGCTTGTTTTTATTTTCTTTTGAAATATTGCAGAAATAAGAGCCGTTGTCAGGAAGAGTTACATTCCTGCAGTCATAACTAAATTAACGGTCCTCGTTCCAGAGTAAGGGAGTGATCACATGATACTCTTAATGGAACATTATGTGCCTGGATGAATATTGCCTGAAAACAATTTGAAAGGGTGGATTGTTAGGAACTTGCCAAAAGGCAAGCTTTCTTCAACATCTCAGGCTGAATGTAACTGAACCTCTGTGGACCAGAAAGCTTTGATTACTCTCTTGAGATTGCTATTAATGTTTGTTTATATAATGCCTTAGTTTTTCTAGTAGCATCTAGGAACTGGAGACCTCATAGATTAACAGATCTTGCAAAATGTAAATACAAAACCAAAGAAGAGACCTTATTTCAACAAGCAGTTAGTAATGCTGACTCAATCTAGGTTAGAACCAAGCATTTTGGCTAAGAAAGTATACCTACTCTATTCTACTCTACTCTGCTCTGCTCTACACGATCTTAGTAAGCCCGGGTATATGTGTATGATTTCAGGATTGCCTGCTGAATGTCTCCTCTTGGAACTTATAGATGAAGCTCCAAGAGGAGATCAGCACCTTCACACTTCACCTCAGTATTTCAGTGCCTCCAGAAAACCATGACAAGCTCTGTATGTTACTATTGTGTAAACAATTTATATCAAGAGCATGTTGGGCCAAAACTGGGACGCATTCCAGATGCCTCCCACCACCATCACCACCATATTAAGACTACCACCCTCAAATGAAACTTATTTCTCGTGAAGAATTAAACTTGCTAAGGGGAAAGAGGTGACAGTCACCAGGGACAGCATGTAAAGCTCATGGAAATGCCGCTTTCACGGGCAAGTACGGACACTGATGACATTGCTAGCAAGTACGTTACAGATACCACAGGAAGCCACAGCTGAGGTTAGATCTTTTTGAGGCCTGTGATAAACATAGAAGTTATGAGACAACTCCATCCAAAGCCAAAATGTGCCTTCCGGTATCTTACATAAATTGATAGAATTTGAGCATTTGATTTTGGCTCCAGCAGCAGTGTCGGGCCAGCACTCCGTACCTGGGATGTGTACGGGGCACAGGAACTCCTGAGAACATAGCCCCTGCCCTTCTCCTTTTCCCAGGGGAAATGCCTCTGCCCTGCCATAGCTGAGAGGTGGAGGGCCACAGCAGCAATGAACTTTGACTGTTTGCAAACTTTCCCCATCGGAGCCTTTGATCAGTCTCAGCAATAGGTGGAAATGCTTCCAAGTGGCCACGTTTCTCAGTGGTCACGTTTGTATGGCAACGTCATTGCAGATTAACTGTCTCTAAAAGGGTTATTTTAAAATCGGGATATGAGAGTGTGTATGTGCAGACACGTGTGCAGGTGCAATTTAATCCCTTATTTTGAAACACGGATGGGAAGAGCTGTCAAGGATTTACGGAGGACTGAGAGGAGAGAAGAGCTGGTCATTAGCACGGGAGTGCCACCTACTGCCTGGTAGCACTGGTGAGACGTTGGCTTGGGGGCAGAGCTGTTGGGCTTCAGCTCAGTGTTGAGGCTTAAAAGTTGCATCCAGGTAGACTTACCTACTGTCTGCTTTTGCAGCTGGAGAACACACAGACATGACTGAGGGTAGGAATTGCCTCTGTGTAACAGTCGAGAGAAACAGCCTTCAAGTGTCTTAAGGGGAACATTTTTTTAACTGCTTCAGCATAATTTATTCATCTTTGGCTATGGTGCTTTTGAAAGTGCTCCTGTAACCAGCTTCCCTCATGGATAGACCAGGAGTTTAAGAAAGAAATAATTAAATTTCTTTCTTTTGACTCTCAGTCCCAGGCCCTAGCTATAAGCCAGTCCTCACTGCACACATGTAGCTATTATGGCTGAGGTTTCTGCAAGCAAACTAAATTGCAGTTGCATGTATTTATTTTATATGCCACATCTGTTTAAGTCAAGGGAGACTTATGTACATTTAGAAAAAAAATACTCTGAATCTGTCACCAATTTACCTTCCTTACCTTGCCACACAGGCCAACATCTATCCCCAGGCAAAGGGACAACGCTGCTCTTTCAGTTACTACAGTCAACACAGCAGGCAAGCTTATAAACTCAGCAGGGGTTCTCCAGTAAAAATTCTCCATCTTAATGAGATAAATGATCAGTTTTTCCATGATGCAATAAAACCAGAAGTATTTAAACTCTCCTCTCTTTCTTCAGTGGTTGCCTGGTTTGCCTAAGCTTCCTACTATGTGAATGCTTCACAGGCTTCAAAGCCTGAGCCCTGTGAATGTAGAGTGTGATTATGCTTTTGCTGAAGAATGTGGATAATTCCCACTTCAAGCACACTCAATTTCTTTCCACCTAAGGCTATAAAGAAAATAAACAACTTGCAAGAGTCATACAAATAATTTTAAAATGGGAGGCCTGTTCCCTTTTTCACATAACTTTTTCCAAACTAATCACTTAGAGAGTAATTGACTTGCAAAACGATCCAGGAGGCCTCCACAGTTGAATTATTATTTTTGATCTGTCCCAGAATGGTGCTGCTATTTCTCATAACAGAAAATGACGACCTCCCTCTAGTCTTTTTACTTACCGCTCTAGCTACCACTAGCAGCCTCACACCTGTTGTAACTGGATTCAGATCAGAGAAATTAATCTGAATATTTAATTCATTCCAAATGTCCTACGTAACATGGAGAAAGGAGTGCTTTCCTAATTGCTTTTTTGGCTGAAGGCTGGCACACTGACCACCTAACAAGGCTGATAGCTCTTTATTTATACATTTAAGAATGATCACTTCTTTTCAGGTAATGTGAAAGAAACTTGATTAATCTGGATAGGGAAGGAATCAATAGGTTATTTGCCATGAAAGATTCAGGAGGGTGTCACATGCTTGAAATCTATAATAATCACTTTAGCGAGGTACTGAGCATTTCTTGCCATCTGCTTCATGGCCAAAGCAAGCAGTCTGAAATCCTGGTCCCACTAACATCATAGGGAGTCAGACACCTAAATATTTTTGCTGATCTTGATCTCCTGGCTTTAATGTTTGAGCAATAGGACTCTTACAGCCAGTTGGATGATGATTCTTGTATGTGTGGCATTTGAAAAAAAAATACTCAAATTAAGGGGCGGGGGGAGGGGGGAGCGGTGCCGGTGCTATTTATATGTTGAATATCCTGCAACATTCTCCAGAAATGTGTATGTTTTTCCCCCAAAAATTGTCGTCCCATCTCTGCAGTTGCTGGGATGTTTGTCAGTGTGCCACCTGGACTACAGATCATTGATGAGTGATGCTATTTCAGTTTATCTAAGTCCTGTTGAAACCTTCCCCAACAGCAGGTCAATGTC